ATGTATATATTCATATTTATATTTATATTTATATTCATATGTATATGTATATTTATGTATATATGTATATAGAAGCAGTCTTTGCAGAGATGTATCTACCTATCTAAAACCATATGTTTTCATCTAATACTTATTACAGCGGTGTGTTGTCAGTTCTCATAATAGCCTTTTTATTTGGATTGCTGCCTGTAACCGTCACCCTATGCGTATCATAGCCGCTATTCATGTTGCCATGTCTTTGTAATACGCTTCTGGTTTCATTTTAAAAGTATTAGTTTTCACTTGATATCGCGTGCTTCTAACACTTGCTCATACTTGGAGTGTGAATCCTATACCCCTTGCCGTGTAGAGTATCTCTGCCTCTTGTCATGACGGGTGATTGTCTTCAGCTTTTGTTACGGAGTGGTGTATGCGTATATGGCTGATGGTTTTCTCCACAAAAATGTATTGAATCTGAGTAGAAGTCCCAATGGTTAGTGTCGTCCCTTGCTTTTTGGCGACGGTGGGAGTGGACAATATAGAGTATTTGTCTTACAGACAGAGCTATTCTATATATAGCTACCAATAGGCGATCAGTTTATTAACATCTTCTGCTTCATTTTCCCCTACAGCGGGAGTGGCCAATATAGAGTGTTTGGATCGCAAGACGTAGATAAACAGTGGATCTCCGAGGTTCGGAAGGGAAACGGATTGTATGTTCGTGCGAGTATACTTTGATCGCTGTACATGCATTTTCCAGGTTCAGGACTCGGGGGTTACAGTCAGACATCAGGGTTTTGTAGTCATGCATGTGTTTGTTGGTGCGTGTACACTATGATATATATATATATATTTACATGCATACTCAATGGTTTGGGCTTATAGTTTAGAAACTATAGTGTTGCGTATGTACTCTCTTGTCGTGAAATACACAGCTGGAAGTGCAATGCAATCTTTACCTTCTGAGGCGACAGGCTGCCTCAGAAGGCTCGCGTGCCTATTCACACGGTAGTGTGGTAGTAGGTAGCATGTAGTAGTATGCACACGTAATGCTTATTGTTTAAGTACGTTTACAGCCCACGCATAGAGGTACAACGGTGGTGTGGTAGTAGGTAGCATGTAGTGGTAGACACAGGCGATCGTTATTGTTTAAGTACATTTACAGCCTCAACAACGCACGCATAGTGTACAGGCTGATCAAAAGAAAAGATAGAGCAGCGGAGCTTAGTTTGATTCCAGCAACGGGTTCGTTTCAAACCTCAAGACGATCACTCAGCCGGGTCCTATAACCTCACACACCCACACCTACAGCACCGGCATACACGAACAGTTTGGTATATGCTAATACACAGATAGTTGGATATATGCACATATGTTAACCCTAGTTATAAAAATACACAGATAGTTAGATATATGCACATATGTTAACCCTAGTTATAAACATACACAGATAGTTAGATATATGCACATATGTTAACCCTAGTTATAGACATACACAGATAGTTAGATATATGCACATATGTTAACCCTAGTTATAAACATACACAAATAGTTAGATATATGCACATATGTTAACCCTAATTATAAACATACATTTATAGTTAGATATATGCACGTATGTTAACCCTAGTTATATACATACACTCTGCATGTGGTTAGATTCAAAGTATTAGAAGGCAGAGGTGAATATTCAGCCTGTGCGTGCAATGTAGCTTTTAACGTTTTGAAACCAACACTTGGATACCTTTTTCGGGTTGTCATAGAAGGGATGGGATAGATCGGCTGAACCACCCAACAGTTGCCACACGCGGGCTACACAGTTACAGAACTGAAACATAAACATACGATAGAACCAGAGCATAAACATACAACAGAGACTGAGCCTAAACGTAGTACAAAACCAGAGTGTAAACATAGTTTAGAGACAGCGCATAAACACAGTACAAATCCAGAGTGTATATATAATTTAGAGACAGAGCCTAAACACAGTACAAAACCAGAGTGTGAACATAGTTTAGAGACAGCATAAACACAGTACAAAACCAGAGTATGAACGTAGTTTAGAGACAGTGCATAAACACAGTACAAAACCAGAGTGTAAACATAGTTTAGAGACAGAGCCTAAACATATACTACAGAGACAGGGCAGTTCCAAGACCTTCATTGATCGCTGACACGGCTCATGCAATCCCCTTGCCTCCACAGCACCAACACAAGGATAGTGCCCAGGTTTATTATCGAGGGATTGAATTACCAGCCATTCCAGCAACTGGCCAGCGGAGAAAAGGAGCTCAAGCGGTTCGTGGCGGAAATAGTCAAGACGTGTAGGTAGGTATTTGAGTAGGTATTTTAGTAAATAGTTGAGGAGAAATTGGAGTGGGTATTTGAGTGTATATTTGAGTAGCTGTTTGAGCGTGTGTTTTCTTGATATTGTAGATTGTCCGTTCGTATTTTGGTTTCGTGACTATTGGATTCTGCGATCATTCTAAAATACATACCAAGTGTTATACTACTAAGATCTAGATGAATGTATTTCTACCTACATGAATGTATTTCTACCTACCCACGGCATATACATACACA